GGAGGAGGAGGAGGAGGAGGAGGAGAAGAAGAAGAAGAAGAAGAAGAAGAAGAAGAAGAAGAAGAAGAAGAAGAAGAAGAAGAAGAAGAAGAAGAAATTCTCTAGAATAATAGTGGACCAAAATTTACCCTAGAAAAGACTGAAGATTTAAAGAAAGTGGTTTCCTTTCTAGAAGGGAAATTTGTCTTAAACCCCTCCCCCAAATCACTGATTCCAGAAGATTCCAAGGGAGAAAGTTTTCAAATCACTAAAATATAGGTAATTCTAATGATGTTTAATCTTCCAAAGTACAGAAAAGGAAACTCTGCATTTCTTGTGAAGCAAATGTGTCCACACAGCACCCAAATCTGACAGTTTGCACACACACACAAAGAAAACCAGGCTATTCCCAGTCACCAAAACCGATTAAAAAAACCCAAAATAGGGCTGGAGACACAGCTCAGTGCTTCATAAACTGGTAGCCCTGGTTTGACCCCTGGTGCTGCAAAAATGAGTGACTTATCTGTTTAAAAATCCAAGGTAAGGGCCTGGGTGTGTGACTCAGTGGGAGAGCACGTCTTTAGTGTGCGCATAGAAGGCCTTGCGTCAGGTCTATGCGTCCTCACTCCCCCGACCCCTAAAATAGGAAAAAAATTAAAACTCAAGATGAAATTTTAGAAGACAGGACTGAGCAGCACCACATTGCAAGTACATTTCAGTGAACTAGAAGAGAGGATGTCATCTACAGGCAGAAAAAGCCAGAGCAGGCTTAGAGTCATAAGGAAGGAGGCCCGTGTGCCGCGCAAGGGGAGTCTCCTCGTATCCATTTGTATTTGCTTCTACTTCCATGAGCGTTAGACCAACACAAGAGTGGTAAGAATTGGCATCTGTGGAGACAGGGCAGTCATGGTGTGGCCCGAGAGGCAGTGGTCATCGGACTTGTTTGCATATACTTCTCATCCAAAGCTTTATTTTAACAAACAACTGTATTCCTGTGCTGGTTTGAGGGAGGAAAGAGACCATCCAGTCCCATGCTGCATTCTTTATTCATTCACTCAGCAAATATCCACTGCCAGACAGGTTTTTTTTTTTTTTTTTTTTTTTTTTTTTTTTTTTTTTTTTTTTTTTTTTTTTTTTTTTTTTTTTTGTTGTTGTTGTTTTGTTTTAGTTTTTTTCTAATCAGTGCTTCACCTGGTAGCATTTTTCACTTTCCCTTTGCCTGTAGGCATTAAAATATGAATCTGTAGCATTAAGGGTAGAGCCCACTAAGTAGGGTAGAAGTGAGAACCCTGGAATACTCTTACCAAGCTTGGTTGACTGGGAAGAACATGTATTGTTTGATGGTGCCAGGACCAAACCCAGGGACTCATGCATGCTAGGCAGATGCTCTGCCACTGAGCCGCACTCTGTCCTGACAGCACGTGCATGCTTGCTCTGTAATGCATCACTCAGACAGCTCTGGAGATGTGCATCCAAGATCTGCCTCAGGGATTGGGTTAAATGGAGAGTGGCAAGTGCGATCTAAGCTTTGGTTTTGGTGGGTAGATGGGTACTAAATCATTCTGTTGGTTTTAATTGACTAAATGGATTGCATGGGTTTTCTTTTTCCCCTAAAAGCTATCACCTATATTAGAAAATTGGTTTCTGATGTGTGTCACACAGTGGTAGACTTGGTCCCACTTGGGTTGCTGTGAATACATCAGGGCAGCTGGACAAAGAGCCCAGGCCTTGTTGAGCGAGGGTGCACATGGGGCCTCCTCTCCTGGGATCCATGCCCTTCAATTCTTTCCCTTTTTTATGCCTGTGGATGTTTGCCTGTGTCTGGTGCCACATGCATGTCTGGTGCCCATGGAAGCCAGAAGGGGCTCTTGGACCTGCTGGAACTGGAGTCAAAGTGGGTTATAAGGCTGTCATGTGGGAGCTGGGAATAGAACCTGGATCCTCTGCGAAAACAAGTGCTCTTAACCACTGAGCCATCTTTCTGGCCCTTTCTTCCTCACTAATTACCATGTGCTCTGTTTTCCCGACAGAGACATCGTGGCCTTGGTGGCTCAAGTGGTCCCCATTTATGCTGTGTCCCACCTCTTTGAAAGTCTTGCTGTGAGTATTGAGCCTGATTTCCTCCCCACGCTTCCATGGCCTGCGTAAGCCATTTCCTCGGATTATGCTGAATTTCAAGTGGGAAGAGAGGCTGCAGTGGTCTAGAGAGGCTACTGTTGATTGTTATCATGGCCACTTCTGCAAAGCATTATTAGAGTCATGTTCAAGTCTGAGGACCACAGAGAGGCTTTCTATGCTGGGGAGGCGGGGCCTTTAGAAGCACCAGCTGTGTTCGTACTGATGGATGTCACCTGCCCACAGTGTACCTGTGGTGGTGTTCTGAGGGGCACTGGAAACCAGAAGGTTGGAGCCATCGTTAACGCCATCGGGTATTATGTGATTGGCCTCCCCATCGGGATTGCGCTGATGTTCGCAGCCAAGCTGGGAGTGATAGGTAAGCCTAACTGTGGGAAGACAGGCCAGCTGTCCACAGGCCCAGGGGATGATGTCCAAGCGCAGGGGAACTTCACTCCTCTGCCCCGACTTTCCTCACACCCCTGTACCTTGTCAGAGAATGAGTGGGCAGGCAGTGGGTGAAACGTGACTGTGGACCCAGAGCTGCCTGGTCACCCTCCTCTTGCCCACGGGTCAGCTGTGGGTATGGTAAAGAGTCCTTCCTAGTCTCCTCATTCTGACTCAGCTAGTCCTTAGTCCAGGACTTGATGGCCAGGACCTCTGAAGCACTGGGAAACATGTTGTATGCAGACCTTGTCCTGTTCCTTGAACAAGGGTCCACAGTACTGTGAGGCCCCTAGCATGACACCTCAGTACCAAGGCCTTCTCCTGGTGTATCGAGGAGTTTGAGGTGATGTGGGGAAGCCCTGGACACCAGACTTCCCAGAACAGTACCCTGTGTACTCAGCACGGAGCAGGGGTGGCGGTGGGCTCCTTGTCCCCTTGTCACCCTCTGCAGCCTCTGCTCCCCACTTGTCACCATCCATGTCTCTCCTGTATCTCTGCAGAGGGACACATGGGAGGAATGTAGAGGGAAGGATGCTGGGGCGGATTCCTCTGCATGACCTTGCTGTGTTTGGAGCAAGGAGCTGAACCCACACGCTCTGAAATGATCAGAGTTCATTTTTTTTTTTTAAAGTAGGGAACTAGATAACTGTCCAGCTTTGGTTTCTAAAATAATAATCGAGAATGCATTGGCAATGAGTAAATGGTTATGTGAAAACCTAACTGTTGTCTTTGGGGTAAAGTAGTGACTGACTTAGGCATGATTTATTTGAGTCCATCAGCACATGGCGGGCTCGGAGGTGCTCAGGCGTCATCTGATAGCTGCCGAGGACTTCCAGTCCCACATATTTAAGTGTGTCACTCCTTTTTCTCAAGTTCAATAATATTTTAATTGAAAATATTGAAGCTCTTCACAGAAGGAGAGTGCCAGAGTTCCGTGGCCGTGAAGGCGCGGATGATGTTTGGCTGAGTTTCTGGCATTATTCGTGGCTTGGGTCTGCCCAGGACAAGGCCAAAGGAAACACTTTAGAGGAGTCTAGTTTTTTGAGTAGTATTTTTATTTAACACAACATTCCCAAAATATTATTATTGTAACATGCAATCAGTACAAAATACTAAGGAGATACTTTAGTCTCTTTTACATTTTTTAGTAATATTATTTTAATTGATAAACACAATTATGAACATTTATGGAGCACAAAGTGCTGTTTTGATGTATGCAGACAACGTGGACTATTCAAGGCCAAGGTAATTAGATTTTCCATCTCCTTGTGATGTTATCACTTTATATAGTAAATGATACATCTGAAATTTACTCTTTTTTAAAAAATACTTTTTTATATAACTTTGGCTAGGCTAGAACTCACTCTGTAGACGAGGCTGGCCTAGAACTCACAGAAAGCCACCTGCCTCTGCATCCTGAGTGCAGGGATTCAAGGCATGCACCAACACGTCCAATTATGTCCAACCTTGTTCTGTTGTTTTCTTCTCTTATTTTTATTTTAGAAAGAGTCTTCTTATGTAGTCCAAGGAGGCCTTGAATGTGGGATCCTCCTGCTTAGCCTCCCAAGAGCTGGGATTATAGGTGTGTGTCCCCATGTCTGGCTGAGTTAAAATTTTAGAAAGGAATCTACTTTAAATATAGATACATCTATGTCCCAAGGTCTGTATTTGGCTCCTCTTACCTCAATTGACAAGGCCGATCTGCTGTGTGAAAAGTAGATTAGGGTATTCCTGGGGGAAATGGCAGGGGCCCTGGGGAGCTGAGGGTTGTGGGTGAGCATGTACTTGGTCCTTCCAATGGCCCCTTAGATACAAGTATATAGTACAGGTTGGTTTCACCTTTCATGTTGCCATCATTAGGGTGTGCAGTGTGTACACGGGGTTCCCAGAAGCACCTCAGAAGGCTACAGGCTCTCACATGCAGACTGACTAATCAGAATGGCTATCAATTTCCCACAGGGTTTTCAAACACACAAATTCCTGGCCCTGCCCAGAGGATAGGATTCTGGTAGTTACCCTGTATCTTTTAATAGGTATTATGACATTAGTGGAAATCAAGTTCCTAACTCAAATTACAGCTAGAGCTAGCTGGGTATTTCTGTTAAAAATCTTTGGAATGAGCTTGTAGTTTCTGTGTAGGAACTGGGAATTTGAAGGAGGGAGCCAGAGGCCTTTCTTACTCTATCCTGGGACTGACAGGTGGCCACTGACTTTACTCCTATGAAGATCAGACTGACCGATTCCTCCTGATAAGTGAGATTCAAGGGCAGTTGGCACCAAGGAGCAGAGCTGTAAACCTACCAAAGTAAAGATAAGCCTTTGAACTATGACTCAGAGTTTAGCCTTAGCCCTTCTATGGATCTGATCGGTTAGCAAAGTCGATGTATTTGGATCCTGTCAGGCAGGGGAATCGGCCCTCCCATTGGTGTCTTGGCAGAGAGTTGAAAGGCAAGCGGAGGAGTGGAGAGCATCATGGGGGATGAGGATGGCTCAGGTGTATCCTGATTGAAAGCAGCTGAAGAGACATGGCCTTGTGTGATTGGTCAAGGTTTAATACTTGAGTATGGTCTAGAGGAGGAGATTGTCAGTTGCTGGTTGCTGGTTACAGTCACTGTTTAGCTTCCTCGTGGTGGTAACCTGGCTCTCTGTGGGTGTAGTTTCTAGCAGATGGGCTTCCTGGGCTGTCATGAGGCAGAGGGGCTCCTTACACGGCCTGGTTCCTGCAGTAATGGGTTGGAGAGTTGGAGTCTCGTGTGCTGTGGTCAACGTGCATTTGTGTGCTCAGCCCTTCCTGACTGGCAGGACTTTGCTTCTGCTGTCCATTCACTGTGGACAAACCGCTCATCATCCGTAGTTCCTTATGCACCCCATGCAAGTTTATTAGATAGACTCACCAGGACATGGGGATCCACTCGGTGTGCTCTCCAGTCCTTCCCAAGTGTAACCAGCCCTGGAAGCAAAGCTTGTGCCCAAACAAAGTTAGGTTTGAAGGTTGAGCAGAAATCTCTGGGGGATTTTTAAGATTGGTGATTTCTGCCAGGTGTGGTGGCACACATCTTTAGTCCCAGCACTGGGAAGGCAGAGGCAGGCTGATCTTTGTGAGTTTGAGGCCAGCCTGGTTTACACAGTGAATACCAGGCCAACTAGTGAGACCCTGTCTCAAACAAAGCAAACAATGAAAAAAGATTGGTGGGTTCTACTTTAACCTCTATACTATTCCATATGTCATCTCCATATCCATGTAAAGTAGGAGCAGGGTTTTATAAGTAGAACTTTGGAATGTAGAGATTGATTTCTAAGATAGTCTCTTCCAATGAGGGTGCAACTCAGTAGAGGGTGCATGCCAGGCACGTGTGAGGCCCTGGGTTCCATCCCTGGTAGTTTGTTTCCTTTTTAGACATCAAGAATATACATAAGCTTTAGGAATTTTTAAATTATATTTAAAAAATTTTTTGAGATTATAATTATATCATTCTTCCTTCTAGGGATGTTTTTAATGAGAGGTTTAATATTCTGTTTTGCTAATTTTTAGCTGACAGTAACATACAATAATTTTCAAATCAAAGGCTCCTAGGAATAATATCCAAATTAAAAATGAAATATTTAAACTCACTTATTGGCCATAAAAATGTTAGTTTTGGTTGACAAGATGGCTCAGCTAGTAAAGTGCTTGCCACACAACCACGAAGACTGGAGTTTGGATCCCTAGAGCCCAGGTAACAAGTTGGGTGGGTGTAAAACCAGGTGATAGCAGTGTAGGGAGGCAAAGCTGGGGAATCCCCAGAGCAAGCTGCACAGTCAGATTGCCAGAACAGTGAGCTCTGGGTTCAGTGAGAGACCCTGCCTCAATATATAAGGTGGAGAGAGACCCTGCCTCAATATATAAGGTGGAGAGAGACCCTGCCTCAATATATAAGGTGGAGAGAGACCTTGCTCATTATATAAAGTGGAGAGAGACCCTGCCTCAATATATAAGTGGAGAGCAATCAAGGAAGATTCCTGACATCAACCTCAAGCCTCCGCAATTACACAAACACATACGCCCTCCCAATATGTCTACACACATGCAAACACACACACATGCATGTGTAGGCCACATATATACCTATGTAAAAAAAGTTAGTCTTCTCTTTTGAGGAGCACAAAACAATGATTTTTCTGGAGAAAGTATTTCTTTACAACTGGCCCATTTTTTTAGTATCCAATCACCATAAGCAAAAAGGACCCAAATAGTTTCCTGGACCTGTTGCTCTGACATTGTGAATCATGGCAGGTGGCCTTGGGGAGTGCTGGGCCTCTGCAGGATGGAGGTCTCTAGCCCACTGTGGGTTCTATCTCAGGATGGAGGTCTCTAGCCCACTGTGGGTTCTCTCTCAGGATGGAGGTCTCTAGCCCACTGTGGGTTCTATCTTGCCCACGGAAGCTGACTTAGTGTGGCTATTGATTCCTTGAGCTAATCTGTCAAATGTCTCCCTGTGCAGGTTTGTGGTCAGGGATCATCATCTGCAGTGTCTGTCAGACCCTATGTTTTCTGGTTTTTATTGCTCGGCTCAATTGGAAACGCGCCTGTCAACAGGTATCCATCCTCAATGTGCTCTAGTCTCTCTGCAAGTGCCAAACCAGACCGGGTATGGCATGCATTCTTTCATTTTGGGAGGTTCTTTTTTTATGCTTTTTTTGTTATTATTGGGTTTATTTTGTTTTAATAGGATTTTAAGGTGAAGGGTTGCATGACCCTGGTCCTATTCATTCCCCTTTGTTTGTTCAGTGAAATAGAAAAACAGGATTTCATTTCAAGTCTCGTGCTATGAAAAGCCAATTTCAGGAGAATTGGGACTGGAGGGATTTTCTCCAAGTTTGCCCTCGTACTCTGTGTGTGTGTGTGTGTGTGTGTGTGTGTGTGTGTGTGTGTGTGTCTAAGACATTGTATGGTTCTTTCTTTTTCACTTTCCCAGGTCAATGTGAGGTCTGAAAACAGAATGTAGAAATGGCAGCTGAAGAAAGAAGATGAAGAAGGGCAAATGCTTAGCTACCTTGGTCCATCTTCCCCTCAGATTAGCCTACTCCCCCATCTCTCAGAACCTGGTTCAGTTTTGGAAGAGAGTTCCATAGTGATCCAGTGACGCTTTATCTCACATGCCAGTTCAGGGACATAGCTTCTCCTAAACCGGGTTTATCAATGCTACCTGCTGATGCTTGGACTTAACTTTGAGTCTCACTTACTTTTCTAGGCTCAAGTGCACGCCAATTTGAAGGTAAATGTGGCCCTGAACGGGAATTCTGCTGTCTCTCAGGAGCCAGCTCACCCAGGTATGCTACCGGGTGCTCTGGGGCAGACCTGGCTATACAGGACCGGAGGGGCCTCTGGGGGACACATCTGGATTAGCTGCTGTGAGCTCTCACTGAGGTGGGGCACTGAAGTTTCAGAAACAAATGTCAAGTTCCACCCACTTTGAGATAAACTGACTTAAGCTTGTTCACTTTGATTCCACACATTAACAAACTGTTATGGATAGTTCAGCTTCTCAGGCCCTCTGCTAATACTTGGTTCTTCCACAAGCATTCTACGGGCATTTCTTTTCCTTTTAAAAGTGTATTGAAAAATTTTGGTCCACATGCAATAACTGTGCTTATTCATGGGGTACAGTGGGCATCTCATGAGGTGGAGAAGAGCATGTAGTGCTGAGGGCAGGAGAGCTGGCAGACCATCCCCCCCACACACACTTGTCCTTTCTGCTGGGCACAGACTTATTCCTGATCCTTAGCATTCCTGTGTGAGGAGCAAGTCCTGGAAGCTGGTATTTTCCTGCTTGTTTTAATGTGGTTCCTGTGGTTGGCTAAGCGTCATTCACTTAAAGCAGGTTTTTGCTTGGACTTTTGTGTCATGAAAATACAATTACATTAGGCTGTTTTTTTTTTCCTGTCAATTTAGTAATTCTTTCATAACCCCAGTTCCTTGGAAGGTTAGTAATGTTAACCTTTCACTCCTGTGAGCGAGGTAGAAGTGAATCCCTTCTGGCTTCCTGCACTCTGTGCCTGATACAAGTTAGACAGGAGAGAAACGGTGTTATGTCTGTAGATGTGGGAGGCCACACACCACGAGACTTGAAGGAGGTGAAGACATCTTTAAATCCTGCATGTAGCCCATCAGGTCTACAAGCCCAGAGACGGGGGTTCAGCAGGGCCCACCCTCACCAGGTGCTGCTCAGCCCTGGGCTACAGGTCTACACACAGATTGACAGAGCGAAGCCAGCCCTGTCCCCAGGCTGGCTCGCCCCGCAGGTTTCCAGCTTCCTTGTGATCTTGCTCTGGGAACTTTTCTTTGTGTCCAGCTCTCTGCCACAGGTTTCTGTTTATGATAGAAAACCAAATCCCATCCCCAGCACTGCTGAGGGAGGATTTCCAGGACACTCTTGGATCTTACCTCCGTCTTGTGCTTATTGGCTTTGTTCTTCATCAAGAAGTGACTCTGGAGCCATCCAAGTAGGGGTGAAGATCTTTTAGAGACACTTGGGCCCCTCCCTTCAGCCACCAGACTAGGACAACAATGGTTCCCAAGACGTTGGCATTTCCGCTCTTGTTAATTTATTTTATCCTGATTTAACCATTATCTTGAGAGGAAGGGCTAATTTGTCAGCTTCGGGAAATAATGTTACTTATCCTGTCTTGTTACTGTGAGGATTGCATGTTAGGAGCTGGCAGACACAGCCTAAGTATTTTGTAGATGTGACCTGATATTGTCTAATTTTAAAAGTTTTGCTTGTTTTTGTTTCTTTGAGACAGGATCTATGTAGCTCAGGCTAGCCTTGAATTGGCATTTAGGTGAGGGTGACCTTGAAGTTCTGACCCTCCTGCTTCCCAAATTGACATTACAGTATGCACCACCATGCCTGGTGAAACCTGTGTTATGATGTTCCAAATTATTTTGTCTCGTCTCTGAGGCCATTGTAACAATCTCAGCACAGATTGAAAATCCCTAATCTGGAATATTCTGAAATCCAAACCACTGGAATATGAAATACTTCTAATGCCCAAGCATTTCGGATAAAGTGTACTCAATCACTTTATACCCACATGCTTTTTAAGAAAGCTGATGCCAATCTTCTTAGGCTGCTAGGTAGTCTGCCTTTATATTTCTCTTGGAAAGTTTGTAGTGTGTTTTCCTGTTAGTATTCTTATTCCACAAGCCATGAGACTTGAGTCTTCATGTGAGTCAGTATCTTGCTTGGTACTCAGTGGGTCCTTGGAGGTGGAGAGTCCCATATTCAGTTCTGTGAATGTCTTGAGTCTTATGTCTTAGTTTATCTGTCCTCCATTTGTTTTATTTTCAGTCTGGAATGCCTATTAGGCAGGTATCAGCACCTTGAAAAGCCTGACCCTAGGAAGCTCTCTGGCTCCCCACACTGGCTGACCAGAGTGAGTTGCGGAGTGAATAGAGGCACTCAGAGACAATGAACCAAACATGAGGCTGTTACCTGCACTGTTAGGGTCAGGCCTGGGCCCTGGCAGCTCCACCCCAGGCTCAGCCTCAGCCCCTGTCCTCAGTGGGCCAACTAAGCAAACAAGTAATGCTGGGAGGCAGAGAAAGGGGTTTATTATTCAGTGTAGCCACACTGGAAAGAGGAACAAATAAAAAGGTCCAGTGACATCTCTCCCTTCCCCTTCAGGGTCCTGACACGAGGTTTAGGTTTAAGCAGAGGGCACAAGGAATACACAGATGTGCAGTCCTGGCCAGCATGTGGTCCTGCCCCTCAGCGACACATCACTGATAGTCTTTCCTGCGAGATTGTCTGAGAAGCTGTCAGAACTGTGTAATCTCTTTGTGGGAGACAACCTCCTCCCTGGCTGGCACCAGGCATCTCCTTCTCCTAGCGTGAGATTTTGGGCGAAATGCCAATGTCTTGGGATTTGTCCTAGTCTGATGGCTGAAGGGAGGGGCCCAAGTGTCTCTAAAAGATCTTCACCCCTACTTGGATGGCTCCAGAGTCATTTCTTGATGAAGAACAAAGCCAATAAGCACAAGACGGAGGTAAGATCCAAGAGTGTCCTGGAAATCCTCCCTCAGCAGTGCTGGGGATGGGATTTGGTTTTCTATCACAATAAACAGAAACTGGGAATTGAATCTTTAAATTGTGCTCTATTCAGCATACTGGAAGATGTGGGAGACTGGGAGCCGGAGGGAGACCTGCCTACCTCCCCCTTCTCTTACTAGCATATTTACAGAGAAAAGGAAATGGAGGTGTCTTAGGGTTTCTATTGCTGTGAAAGATACCATGACCATGGCAACTCTTATAAAGGAAAACATTTAATTGAGGGATGGTTTACAGTTCGGAGGTTCAGTCCATTATTGTCATGGTAGAGTGTAGACAGATGTGGTGCTGGAGAGGGGCTGAGAGTTCTCATCTGGATCCTCGGGCAGCAGGAAGGAAGAGTGAGCTACTGGGCCTAGATTGAGCTTGTGAAACCTCAAAGTGACACTCTTCCTCCAACAAGGCCACACCTCAAAATGGTGTCACTTCCTATGAGCCTATAGGGACCATTTTCATTCAAACTACCACATTCCACTCCCTGGCCTGCGTAGCTATAACATAATGCAGAAATGCTTTCAATCCAATTTCAAAAGTCCCCATATAACAGTCTTAACCCTGTTTAAAAGTCCAAAGTCTCTTCTGAGACTCATGGCAATCTCTTGTGTACAATCTCTTGTAAGATCAAAATTAAAAAGCAGATCACATACTTCCAACATACAATGGCACCAGGATGTACGTTACTGTTCCCAGAGGGAGGAAAAGGAGCATCATGAGGAAATATTCAAACCACAAGGGTCAATAAATCATTTCAGAGTGTAGTCTTGTCCCCTGGCCAGGTATTTGGCCTTGTCTCTGAGACTCGTAGCAGGGGAGGGCTGGCCAAGGTCTCAGCTTACATTTCTCCTGAGCCAGTTTGGATGACATTTAGATTGAAAGTTAACTCCGAACAACTATTAGCATTAGCAGCGCGTACCTGCAACCTGCTTACAGCATGCGCTCATGGATTCCTTCCTAGAGAATGGGGTGCAAATGTGCAACTCTTGTAAGCTGTAAAATGCCGCTATTTCTTACTACAAAACGAAACACAAATGTGCCCCTATTTGTCCCCTGTGAGTATGTCCTGGAGCAAAGGCAGTAAAAAGATTATATTGGAGTCACTTAGGCCTATTTCTATGGGAGAGACGTAGCATCGGTCAAGGCAGAGACACTTCTGAACATGCACAGATCATGCTTTGCATGTACAAAATGGTGGATAGGAACTTCTGGACGGAGAGTGTCAGTATAATGAGATTGTAGTGGGCAAAGTGTGTGGCAAGTCAGCCAGAGAGTGGGTCAGAGTGGCTTGGCAATTCCCATGGCTTCCTTATGGTTTTCTCTGCAGGGCCTTATCTGAAACCAACCATAACAACTTGAAGGGACATTAATAGTCATTTAAAGGGATGGCAGCAGGTGCATAGCCCTAAGATCTCTTACCTAGCAGTCAACAGTGGTTTCTTTTATTTATTTATGTATCGTAACAACTGCTTCTTTGTTTTTTTTTTTTGTTTGTTTTTTTTTGTTTTTTTTTCGAGACAGGGTTTCTCTGCGTAGCTTTGCGCCTTTCCTGGAGCTCACTTGGTAGCCCAGGCTGGCCTCGAACTCACAGAGATCCACCTGTCTCTGCCTCCCGAGTGCTGGGATTAAAGGCGTGCGCCACCACTGCCCGGCAACAACTGCTTCTTGAATCAACTCTTTCCTCAGCAATAATCATGAATAATAACCACCATTTGTGCATGTGAAAATAAAAATCCTTTCATGCTGCTCACTAAGGTGCTTTTACCTTCACAGTAAGTCCTGAAAGCCATGGTGAAATCATGATGACGGATCTCGAAAAAAAAGATGAGACTCAGTTGGACCAGCAGACCAACCAGCAACAAGTTTTGCCCGTCCACCCAAAGGACAGCCGTAAACTGTCTGGGAAACAGTTGGCGCTACGGCGAGGGCTCCTGATCCTGGGAGTAGTAGTCGTCTTGGTGGGGGGGATCTTAGTGAGACTATACGTCAGAATTGAGTGATGTGGAAGAGGCGAAGATCAAGCCATACAGGGGTTCCTCAGTTTATGAGATTAACACCTGACCAATCCAACACATACTGAAAACACTACATCAGGACTGGGGGTGTTGCTGTGACAGACAAACACGTGTTTAGTGTGTTCAGGGCCCTCTAACAAGTAAGTTCTCTCTCTCTCTCTCTCTCTCTCTCTCTCTCTCTCTTTCTCACACACACACACACACACACACACACACACACACACACACACACAGAGACAGAGAGACTGAGAGTCATACACACACAGAGAGAGAGAGAGAGAGAGAGAGAGAGAGAGAGAGAGAGAGAGAGAGAGAGAGAGAGAGAGGACATGCATTGGAGGTGGACAATGCATGCAATACACTTAACCTACCAAACACCACTGTTCCAAATACTGTACCAACTAGAATGTTAATTTTTCACCCCTGGGTTGCAGGACCACCCAGGGGCTGTAGCTCACTGTCACTGTCCCATATCTCCGAAGGATGGTGTCACACATTGTGAACCCAGGAAAAGCTCCCAGTTCAAAATAGTCTCTACTAAATGCACGTCACTCTTGTACCAATGTAAAGTTAAGAGCCCTTGGAAAGTGAATGACTGTAAGTCTGGGACCACACGCAGCTTTGAACTTATGGACAATTCATAGGCCTGGCAGTGGCCAGTCATTTTAGCCAACAGAATTCAACTGTGCTCATGGGTTTTATGAACTGAGAATTCAAAATTTTTTTCTAATAAGGAATAAGGTAAACACCATATTGTGGTCTAAGACAATATGGGGAAGATGATGTTGGAATATTAATTCGTCCACCACGGTCAAACACGGACTGCTGTGTACTGACTATATTCAGGTGTGGACTTCCTATTTCTTGTGCCTTGTTTTCTAAGATAGAAATCTATATCTGAACTGCTTCTATATTCTTATTGTGTGACTCCTATTAAATACACTTTATGTCTCTCCGTTATTTTAATGTCTCTGTAGATTATTATTCTGTGAGCAAACATCATTTATTAATCATCAGAGGGAGCTCAGATCTCCTGTGGGGGTGCAGGCAGGGAAGGTCTCTGGAGCTGTGAATTGGTGAAGACCCAAACATGAGTGACAATTCCTGGTGGTGGCCGGAGGACAAAGCTTTAATAAAGGCATTAAGACGAAGCCCAGCCGGGCGTGGTGGCGCACGCCTTTAATCCCAGCACTCGGGAGGCAGAGCCAGGCGGATCTTTGTGAGTTCGAGGCCAGCCTGGGCTACCAAGTGAGCTCCAGGAAAGGCGCAAAGCTACACAGAGAAACCCTGTCTCGAAAAAACCAAAAAAAAAAAAAAAAAAAAAAAAAAAAAAAAAAAAAAAAAAAAAGACGAAGCCCAACTCTTTTAGCCTCTTAAAGGGTTATGTACACACTGATAACTCAGCAAGCTTTCAAAGAACAGAAAATGAACACAATTAGGAAATTCAGCTACTGTGAGTAAAACCGGTTCAATTTACTTTGTTTTTCCTTTTGGTGGTTGGGGCTGGAACTCATCCACTACAGGCAAGCATTCCTCACTGAGCTACACCCACATCGGTTGGGTTTGGTTGAGACCCCCTAAAGTCTCCCTCAGAGAGTCATTCTTGTTGAGTAAATAAGATGTCATTTTCCAGCCACCCAGATCGAAGCTTGTCCCCCGCGCGCGCGCCCTGCGCTCGGTAACGGTTAGACTTGGCCATGGCGCCCGGGGTGGGGTGGCGCGTGGGGCGGGTCCCGTGCCCCGCAGTGGGCCACTCCGCCCTCGGCTCCACGTGCGGTTCCCGCCTGCATCAGAGCCTGCACCATGGAGCTCGCCGAGGACAGCCTGGGTGCGGCCATCCGGCTTCCAGAGCCACCCGACGCCCCGCAGTGGCGCATCCCTGGCGGCCTGCGGGGAGCGCTGTCCCCTGGGGTGCTGCGGGAGGCAGCCGCGCTGGTGGCGCTCGCGGGCCCGGTGGTGAGTAGGACCCGGAGCTGCGGGCGCCGGGCGCCGGGCGGCCGCAGGAAGGCCGAGGGTGACCGCCTTTCTGCTCCTTGCAGTTCTTGGCGCAGCTGATGATCTTTCTCATCAGCATCGTCAGTTCCATCTTCTGCGGACACCTGGGCAAAATCGAGCTGGACGCCGTGACACTCGCTGTCTCCGTAGGTGTTAACTTGGTTTCGGCTGATGGCGCGGTAAAGCCTCGGGAGTAAAGCTTTAACGTGTTTTTATTTGTGTCTTTATTTATTTGCTGGAGACAAACTCGGGGCCGTGTGCTCAGCACACCCCCAGCCCCCAAGCCTCAGAAGTGCAGGGACTGGGTCTGACCCACCTCTACCTCGGATGTGGGAAGAGAGTGAGTGCTGAGCAGATCTCACGGGCACTATGGAAGGAATGTCCCAAACAGAGGCATGGTGCAAGGCTACCTTAAACGAACTACACATCCCTGTCTCCGGAAACCAAACCACCAAAGCTATTAGTTACACAGTTCATTAAGACTGCACTATTTCTCTTGTAAAGTGTCTTCCTTCCGATCACACGTCCTTAGAAGCCTTTCTCCGTCTAGTACAGTAGGGGAGATAGGGAGAGCTGCTGTGATAGCATTTGATCCGCACCTTCAAACATGAGAAAAACTCCTCCTCCGGGTGAGGTGATGACTCCTGGGTCCTCCTGTATTTCAGAAAAATGTCCCTTCTACCCCCCTAGGATGTCGGAATGCCCTGTGCGACAATGGGGGCCTGCAGTTTCTTTGTCAGCATCATGATAAGAGTACCTGGCTATGAAGAGTCTCAATGTATAGGCCCATTACTGTATTGGCAGAAACAACTCTCTCTCTGTGTCTCTCTGTCTCTGTCTCTCTGCCTCTCTCTCTCTCTCTCTCTCTCTCTCTCTCTCTCTCT